ATATATATATATATATATATTTGCGGAAACTGCATTCTTTAATTGAAGAGAACGTCGACCATTTTCTTCGATGAAGGAAAATGTCAAATAAAACAATCATCAACGATTAATTTAGATTAATATTGTGAACATCAATAACCAATGACTTCAATGACAAATGTAAAATAATTTTGCGTTGTTAGTCAATTAAAAATAATTATTATAAAAATTAACAAACTTAAATTTATAATTAAATTACATTGTAAAATTATTTTGCATCTCAATGCATAACCTATTTTTTCATAATTGTTATTGTCAGTTATGGTTAAACATTTTGTCTGATTTTCTTAAAGTAAAAAAGATAATAAGAAGAAAATTATTGATATGGACAGATTTGGCCATGTTACATTACATTTAAACATGTACACAAGTGATTTGGAAAGGAAAAAAGTAATTTAAGTTACGATGCCTCACTAAAGATAGGTATACGTGTCAGAAAATGCTAGGTTATATTATTAGACGAAAAAAAATCTTCCATTATTGTCAAGAAGCCAGGGAAAAGAACTAGACTCAACTTGGTGCCTGGAGATTATTTAAGGTACCACGAGCAGAACCACTCCATTGCCTGATTCTTGGAATAATTATAGGCAAACAACACACTAGAACAAATAGTAACTCCATCATGAATGTCACCATTGTGATCCATACAAATATGATCATCTTCCAATTCCATATAATCCTCTTGAATAAGGGAAGTTCTGATTCAATAACTACTGATGAATCATATATTTGAGGAATGCCCGCACCAGGTGGATATTCTGCTCGCTGCTCAAGGGTTACTTTTAAGCATGAAGTAGGTACATCCCCTTCAACAAAACCTCTCATCTTGACATTCAGTGTCTGGGTTTCTGATATATAACCAGTGACAAGAGGTGCAAGCTTGAGGAATGTCATGATTAGGCGGATAGGCTCACTTATGAATTTTAACATGCAAGGTTGGTTTGAACTCCAAATTGATTTGCCATCATAAGACAAGAAGTCTACCTTGATCTATAAAATAGACGAGTCAAAGAAGAACTCAAAACCAAGCAACAGGAAATCATGAACTGTTGTGATTATCATCATAGTTCAGATTTTTAAGCAGAATGATACAAGTTCAAGGAAATTACAATTTTAACAGAATAATTACTAAAGAAATCACGATCAAACAGCCAAAGAGTACAATTGATTACCTTATTTGCCTAATAAACCTAACTAATATCTTAAAGCACCCACACCTCAATGTTAGGAAACATAGTACGTAGACAGAAATAAAAGAACCACTTCAGTTAAAAGTTTTAGCTTTTATGTAAAAGCCAGCGAATTGTCCTAGTCTCTAACACAAGCTCACAACCTTCAACGTGAAGGCCACACTTGGCATAAATTATGGAACAGGATTGTGCCGATAACTCCCTACCCTCTTGTTATCAATTAAAATTAAACAATTAGATAAGGACACCAGAAATTGAACTCTCTTAGCCAGTTCAATTCCTTAGAAAATCCAAATGAGTTAAAGGGCATACAAATCCTTCCAATAACAGCTTGAGCCACAATGGCACAGGTGCATAGCCATAGCAGAAGCTATTGAACTCTTTAAAGAAACGAAATAGTGAAATTCAACAATCATGTTTATATCACTTCTCGGAACCAAACTCCAATAATACTTGAACAACGCAAATAAGAGAGGAATGCTGGTGATACTCTTGCTAACACTTTCTTTATTACTGGTTGAAAATTTTATTGAAAATCATAAATTTTAGTGATTCCTATCACTAAATCAGAAGAGACTTGTTAAATGATACCTGTGATCCACAAAAATTTGTGTTTTTTTAATAAATTTCTATCAATAATAGAGAGAGAAAAAGAGAGTTGTTAGCATTCCTTGTTAGAAGATATTGAGAGTTAAAACTAGGACCAAGTTGCCATCCAAACCCTTTGAAGTCATCCTTACATAACTATCTTCAAAATATATACACTAGCGACACAAATAACTTTATTCACCATCAAAGGTCCCCATATTAACATAGTAACATGCTAACATTACACATATACATTAGAACTACTGAACTAGTAACACATCATGCAAGAGGTTCAAGTCAATCCAAAGCTTCTCTAGATTAAAACAAGTACCTGAAAGACGCCAAGATTTGTATTATATTCCGACTCCGGCACAACCAATGAAACAGCGACCTGCACCTTTTGGTTAGCAGGTATAGCTCTCCTACCCATCCACTCTCTAACAGCAATGCCATTCTCAGAATCTTGCCCACCCCCAACCCCAACACCATGACAAGACATTACAGGCACAAATGCAACAGGACTCTGCTTGGTGTAATCAAAGTTCAAAACCTGCCTCATCTGAAATGGCTTCTCCACCAAGCACCTCAACAAAAACCCACTCACCATAAGGGAACAAACCAAAAGACAAAACAAAATGCAACAAACAAAGATTGACCACAACAATCCCCACCCACACCTAAATGCAACATTCCACAATGACTTGTGCTCTCTCAACCATCCCTGAGCCGAAGGACCAATGCACCCCCAAACACCACACCTCACTCTACCCAAAATCTCCCACAAAAAACCCTTCCCTTTTATAATTGTCCCAAAAGGGTCCACGAAAAACATGAAAGCGTGTAACATAAACCAAATTGGCCACTTCACCAAAACAACGAAACAATTGATTTGAAACACAATTGCCCTAATCAACAACCCCGTTACATAATCAAGAGAATTCAAAGGGGAACTACTGACTACCGCCGCTGAGTCAGCGGAATCGGCGGCACCGTCGTCGTTATCGGCGGTGGTTAACGTCGATTCCTCGTTCCCTGTAATAATAGGAAATTAAGGGAATTAAAAATATAGGATTAATTCTGTTATTAGTTGCTTTTTGGTTTAGAAAGTAGGTAATTAGGATTATGGCCGGGGGAAAAGGTTATATCGGTGAGAAGTCAGAATTATAAATAGACCCTATTGTACAGAATTGGGATTATGAATAAGAAGTTCAGTATTCAGTTTCCTCTACAATTTCTAAGAAAATTGTGAATGAGTGAGTGCAATCAAGGTTAGCAGGTATAACCTTTGACATTCCCCTCTTCGGTGCCAACGCTTGGAGGTGAAGAGGGACGGTGATTCTCTTGATTTGAATCGCATTTCTCGGGAGAATTCTCGTTTTCCTTCGAAGTTCCGAGATTTTGATTGATTCGAAGGTTCGTTCCGGCGCCAGTGGTCGAATTGCCGTCAGAATCAGTGTTCGTGGGTTCCCTCACCGGTGAACGACGGCGGTTTGAACGGCGGCGGATTGAGGTCACCGGAGATGGAGAAGGTGGGTTGGGGCCGGAGAGAATGGAAGCGGAGGCGGAAGATTCCGGCGAGTTATCGGCGGCGCCGGAGCAATGGTCGAAGGGGCAGTGAGGAAGCGCGTCGAAGAAAACGTCGTCGTTTTGGCTGTTTGGGCCCGAAAACGGCGCGTCCATTGAAGATATTGTGATCGGATTTTGAACTTGGGGGAGTGGTTCATTTTGATACCACAAAATTGAGAATTTTCTTTCTGAAAAAGAAAGTATATATTCAAGAATACAAAAATCATATTCCAAAACGAACACAAAAAGATTGTGGTATAAATAAATTACATGGCTTTTCGTCAGTAACTTTTCTGGGGTATATTTGAAAACATTTCCTCCAAATTTATATTATAAGAAAGGAAGTGATGATGAAAATGAATAGTTTATTTATAACAACATCTTCCCATTACTACATTTTTATTTTTTTTTAGCAATATTTTCTTTCTTATATTTATTAAAATATTATTATATATTGAATAAATATATTATTTTTTAATAATTTTTTTAAAAAAATATTATTATAAATAAAGTAATATTTTTTATTTTAATATTATTTTTTTTTTATTTTTAAAATCAAAGTCTCATGTCGAATAAAAAAATATCACACAAGTTATTTTGTAACATTTTTTTTTTTGAAAAATGTTACTACAAATAAGTAATATTTTTTTATCTCAACATTATTTATTCTAATTACTTCTAAAATCAAAGTTTCACATCAAGTAAAAAAAAATATATTTATCTCATTTTTAATTGTTACTCATAATTAAAGTCTTATATCAAGTAAATGAATGACTTATAGAGAGTATATATAATCATATTGTTATACTTAAGATAAATGAACTTTGATATTTTATATATAACTAGTGATGACTAATTAAGAAGGTATAAGACATTCTTAAAGAACTTGTGGAAGTTTATTTATGAGGTATAAAAATATAATAATTGACAATAATATCTAAATTAAAACTAATTATTATTTTATAAAATTAACCAAAACTCAATAACATCATTAAAATGTTATAAAAATATTATTTTGATAACGTTTAAAAAATGTTGTCTAATTATATAAAAATATTATTAAAAATCGTTAACATAGACTATATACAACATTTAATAATATGTTAAAAAAGTAAATTAACAATATTTATACACAGTTAGATAACAGTTTTTAAATGTTGCTAAAAGTTCTTTGTGTTATAGTGTTACTTCCAACTTTTTAAATCATTCTTGTAAAATTAATGAGCATCATGTGTTAACTAATAATATTCCCTTTCGATTTTAATGAGCTTTCACTATATATCATTATTGTTCTCCTCCTTCAAATTAGTTGTTTCATTCATTAGTTCCACCTCCATAAAAGTTGGATCTTTTGAGCAACCATGGCATCCAATCAGTCCATTTCCTCATTTTGTAACAAAAACAATACTCTTTCGAGAGTTTTTCTTCATCCCTCCCGCCAAAAATTTCTTGTAGTTGGTGTTAGATGGAACCCTTTGACAGTCCCGGAATGTTGTCAGTTCTTCAAAATCCCCGAAATTGAATGGTTGGGGTTTCTCCTTTCCGGTTCCGCTCAGCCCAGCAACCGCTTTCAATGTAGGTCCATCCAGCCTGATTAACTTCCCCTTAATCACAGATTGCATAACCCCATCATTAGTGGAGGCAAAACAGAGGAATAATCTGATTAGCTCCGGATAATAGGGTCCTTCCATTTCCAAGAACGCCTTCAACTCCTGATGCTCCAAAAGGGTTGGAAAGCTAAACCCCTCGTTCTTGAACCAATCAAGCTTCAAGGTCTTCGGAGGAATGATTCTCCGAC